ACAGTGCATTATTGGCACATAATGCAATTTTATCTTCTCCGTCTTTCCCAATGGATAACAGCATTTTGCCTAATAATTGCGGCTAGAGGCTCAATCTTTGGATAGTCGGATTCCCAGAGCTTTAACCAATATTTTGACATCTGTAGTTAGTAACAAGTTTGGTCTATAGGAATCTGGTTTGAGAGAATGGTTTTCAAATTTTGGCATAACCACTATGATCACTGTATACATCTGAGTTTATTTATTAAAAATTGTGCTTTGCAAACTTCTCCCACATACTGTTTCCCATTCCGATTGAATGTTTTTAGCCTAAAACGTTAGATTCTTTTTCTTTGTTGGTAGCAAAATCAAAGCTAAATCAATTTTAGAAAACCTTCCGCGTGTATAGGATTAGCAAGTGTGTCAAATTCTCCAGATCTATATTATCCTAATTCCCCTATAATTGTAGTACATTGAGTAGAGACTTGCTTGCTCCGTACAAAACCTGTCTCTGGAAGCATGTAGGGCATTAATAAAATGTCCTAGAATGATCATAGGTTAAAATACATATTCCAGAAATTTGTGAAAAGTTTTAGGAACAACAGGAGAATATGAGGGATTAGATGGGGATTTACTGTATATGTTGGCTATTATGGAGACAGCAGTGCCAATATCACAATGTAAGAAAATGTCTGCCTTCTTCATCAATCTGGGCATGTCTGCAGGTGAATGGAATATTTTTTTAAACAATAAGATGGGGTTTTCAAGACAAACATACACCACATAGTCGGACATTGTGGTAAACCATAGCAACAGTTGATCATAGAAAATGGCAAAATGCCTGAGACCTTAGCCTAATCAGTATCATGATGCACATAATTTAACACTGGGAGTCCAGTGGGAGACAAATGTACCTACTTTCCATGTTGCATATCTTAGTGTAACTGCCTCTGAGAAGATGAAGCCAGCCACATTCCAAGTCTTAAAAAGCTGAGTACAGAAGTGCTGGAGCAGAATCTAAGAAGCGAGTGTCACCTTCGGTAACCACTCTATTTGTTGAGATGCAGCTTGGAGAATATGAAGATCTAAGCTTAACAGCCAGGAAATTGGCTTGATGCTTCTGCACCTCAAATGAGAATTCAGGGATGATGGAGATTCTGAACTGGAAGAATGGACTTTGGTAGCTCCCTGTAAAAAGAGGGCACCTTGGGACCCCAAGAGCTTTTTCCATGGTGAGAGCGTGCCACTATCAAATGTTTCCATGCCTAGGGTATCTCTGTCAGGGCAGGTTTGGGCTGTGTGTTTACTTTTGTGAGTATGGAGGTGGCTGCAGCACAGTCTATTGTACTGATCTGCTGCCCCACCCATGCCATTCTTTTGGTCCGGTATCGTAGAGGTGAAAGTAAGTACCCATACACACAATGAGAATATCGGATGAACGATTGTCCGTTTTTTTTGCATGCTAGTCTCATAACGAAAGTGAAGAGGTTACTAAAGTTACAAAAATTCTTGGACGCAAAATAAAACTTTGAAAGTGTTGCAATGTATTGCATTTTATTTGTATTGTATTTTTGGGAAAAAAAATGTACTGATTAAAATGAAAATCGTACGATCTGGTATCATACAAGAAAAATGTTTGTGCTTGTCCCTTCAAAAAATTTCGGATGAAAGCTATGTACTAATAATCAGATCATCATATGATCGCTTTGAAAGTATTTTTTGCACAATTTTCTGATCGTGTGTACTAGGCTTAAGTCCATGGTCTCCTCATGGATTCTTACTGAACAAAGGTATGAGGACTGAAGCACTTTTTTGCCTTCGTAGAAGTGAGGGCGGAATGTGTGCAAGCTTTGTGGCCACTTTCTTACTTCTGGTGGTATGGGAGCCAGTGCCATCTTTACCCTTGCGGTCTTGAAGCATCCTTTCTATTCCTTTTAGTCATCATATGACCAAAGGGGACAAGCAAGCAGCTGACTTTGAATCAAATGTTTTTTCAGGTAAAAAAAAAAAAAAACCTCAGTTTTAATTGTTTTCTGTTAAAAACCACATATAGCTTACAGAAAAAGCAACATGATATAATTGAGCCCTAAGATACAACAACCAGCCAAAAGATCAAAATTCCAAAATAGCAGCTATGGACAAAAAGATAATCACTGCCCGTGGATGATTAAGGCCCCACTGGGAAAAGATCAAATATCTCTGGGCATCCTGGGGCCTCTGTAGACATCACCTTGTGAACCAATCTTGCAGAAATGATCCTAGGAAATTGCTATTGTTGTTCTGAGCTAACAGCAGTGCCTGAGGTGTCTGCTCAGTATATAAACACTGTATTTTATGCCAACACATAAAAAAAACTCTTTCCAACTTTGAATCATGATGTAGGGAGTATACATGTGAGGGGATGCTTTTCTGAGGGGATGCTTTTCTGCCTCAGGATCTACATGACATCCAATCAGTGTGGTACCTGTAAATTAAGGTTCATTGTACTGCAGAATATTACTGTCTTTTTTTTGGATAAAACAGAACAAAGTAGTTAAACAGACAAAATTCCATATTTTAAGAGTCACCAAGTGAAAAGTCCTGAACACAATCGCAATGGAATGCTGCGAAAAGATCAGAACCTTGCTGGTTAAGCAAGACATTCAAAAATATAAACTTTTGCATAAAAGGTACTGGTAAGGGTTTGATACAGTGCTTGCATGGATTTTCTCTGGGTACTCCACTATCCTGCCACGCTTCAAAGGCAAGCTGGTAAGTTAATTTAAGTTAATTATGTCCAGTCTAACTTGGCCCTATGCATGTAAGAGAGGTTCCATAGATTGCAAGCTCCTTGAGAGCAAGACAAGGTGTGAATTTACAGTATGTAAGGCACTGCGTAAATTATCGGTGCTTTATAAATGCCAATCATAAAATTAATAAAATACTTTTGCCATCAATTATCCATTTAAAAATTGAGGACAATGTATATTTAATGTATATTTAAACTTAAACAGATCCCATTTTATAGATCATTCATATAGAATATGCTTAAAGAACATGGAACACATCCATTTTATTACTGGTACATAGTTAGCTGGGTTGGAAAAAAGCACAATTCCATCTAGTTCAAGCTATAGAAGAAAACAAACAAATAGAAAACCTCTGTATACACAATCATATACCCGCAGTTGATCCAGAGGAAGGCATAATAAGCCCCAATAAAGTATGATCCAATTTGTTCAGTGGGGGAAAAAAATTCCTTCCCGATTCCCTCAGGATGCAATCAGATATTTTCTGGATCAACTGTTGCTAGCGTTATTACCTATAAATGTTAATATCAAGTTATTTTTTTTTTACACCAAAGAATACATCCAGTTCTTTTTTAAAACAATCCATTGAGCTGGCCAGAATTAGTTATTGAGGGAGTCTATTCCACATTTTCACAGCTCTTACTGTGAAGAAGCCTGTTTTCCTATGGGACAAAGTACATGTAGTACATTTTCTCATCATTAAATGTCATATACTGTAGGTCTAAGGCTGGCTGTTTGGTCAGGCAGGGCACCCTTCCTCCCTCCATGGCTGTTCGACAATGTGGCAAGCAATGAGCTGCATGCCTATTGACAATTTGCACTTCTTGTCTCCTTGACTGGAATATTAACCCAACCCCCTTCCCCCTGCGTTCCTCAAGAGACACTTGTTTGTGCAAGTGATTGGAGATGGAGAAAAGTAACATTTGTCAAAGCAGCACACTTGCTAGCAGCATTGTCGGATGGCCGTGGAGGGCTGTGTGTAAAATATGCCTGTGAGGATGTGATCACGGAGAGGAACACTAGCCCATTCCAAATAAACTACCTCTGCCCCCCCCCATCCAACAAAACTATAAAGAAAAAAATAGTAGAGTTCCCAAAAAGTAGGCTCCTTTAACCATAACTTGATGGCACCTTGAAGGCACCCTGTTTCTTATGCATATACAACTCTTTTTTGTATGCACAGAATATTCTTGAAGAAAGTCTGCTGGTAGAGGTAGACGCTCTACCAGCTTACCCATGCCTCATTCGTTTTCCTAATTAAATCCTTGAACTTGAATAAAGGATTTTTTAATGAAAAAAAATACATTAAAAAAGATAGGTTTACCTTTTGATCAAAAATAATAAATGCACATTTTCTGCAGGCAAAAATCTAAGAATTATTTATGGCTGCAGGAACCTATAAAGCATTGCTCCAATGATCAGCAGATCACTGGTGCCATGCAGGTCTCCTGCAGATCTGTCAGTATATATGGTTGCCTGTACAGGATGTACAGGCAAGCGGATACTGACAAGAAGATTCAATAAAGTACCACGACGCTCCACAGCGCTGTGGAAGTTCATTGAGAACTACAAGCCAACAGCTGCTAAGGCTGTCGGGACTTGAAGCACATTCATTGACAGAACAATGTGAATGAGTATCGCAGCCACATTTAAAAAAAAAAATTGACAACTAGCAAGGGGGGAGGAGATTCCCCGCTAGCTGTCAAAGCAGGGGAGCGGGGCCAGTGCATTCATAACATGTAACATGTTATGAATGGTGAACTTATCCTTTAACTCGTCAAGTCATGAATCAATGTAAAACATCATTTCAGCTCCATGGAGAGCTACAGACTGCACATTCTGTGGTCGCATTATAGATGCTAACAGAAGCTTCTAAACTTGCGGTTTGTCACGTTCGTAGAGTTCATATTAACCTCCCTGGCGGTATGATTATTTCAGATTTTTGGTGCTGAAAGCGGACCATTATTTGCATGGAAATATATAGTTTTTTTATTGTAGGCTGTAATTTTTAGGAATAACTCACTGAAATCTGTCCGAACAAGAGTCTAGTAAACATCCCGGGTATGATAAAATTTGAAACACGAAATCATAAATTATAATGTAATAAATAATCATAAAAAAATAATAATATAATAATACATTTAATTCAATAATATAATCAAACCAAAAACACTGAAATTTGAAATAGAGCACCAAGTTCGCACATCACTGAGCAAAGTCGCAAAATCGTTTTCAGTGTCTGATGACGAATTTCCCCACAAATCATTATCACTCTATTCTGCAAGTGGTTCTGATTTACTATCTCTGTTCTCTAGCCAGTCTAAAACCACTTTTGACCTAAAGGGACGCTTTTTGGACGCCATGGACGTTTCTCAGTTTCCAGGCAGAAAGAACAGACAAAATGCAGACAGGGGACAGGACAAAGCACTAGGGACAAAATGTATGTGAAATTATTATTATACAGTATTTATAAAGCGCCAATAGTTCGCTCAGCGCTGTACATTACAGAGGGGAAATGGGTTGAAACAGCAATGTTTTACTATGTAAAATTTGTTTTGAAAAAAATGAAATTTTTTAAAATTTTCAAATTTCCCGCCCCCGACGTCACAGGGACCGGAACACAGAAGCCAGATGCCGGCATCGGCCAGAGGAGATGGCCGGGGAAGCTGCAGGGGGCACATCGCGGGAGCGCAGAACAAGGTAAGCTCTGCAGGGAATCCCTATGCAGCACCGCATGGTAAGCCCGAGTGTAGCTCGGGGTTACCGCTTTTGGTACAGACATTTTACCCCGAGCTACACTCCGGAATACCGCCAGGGAGGTTAAATACACTATAAAGTAAGGGAATGTGACTGTTGCAACTAGTGGTACACCGAAATGAAAATTCTGGTGCTGAAACCAAAAATTCAAAATGCACTTGGCGGAAAAAAAACGAAACAGAAATGCACAGTTTTTAAAAATGAATATATACTTAGGAAAAAATACACGTTGATTAAAAAAAGAAACTAAGAAAAACAATATGTACCCAATTTTTTTGTAAAATATGAAAAAGGATGTTACGGCGAGTAAATAGATACCCAACACGTCACGCTTTAAAACTGCGCACGCTCATGGAATGGCGTGAAACTGCGGTACTTAAAAATCTCCATGGGTGATGCTTTAAAAATGTCTACAAGTTAGCAGTGTAAAGTTACAGAGGAGGTCTAGTGCGAGAATTATTCCTCTTGCTCTGACGTTTGTGGCGATACCTCACATGAGTGGTCTGAACACCATTTACATATGTGGGCATGGCCTATGTATGTGTTCACCACTACGTGTGAGCACGGAGAGATGGGGGCACTTTAACCTTTTTATTTTAAATATTTGTTTGTTTTTTTTGCACTGTCCCTTTAAAAAAAATTTTAATCACTTTTATTCTTATCAGAAGAAATGCATGCATCCCCTGCGACAGAAAGAATTAGTGACAGGCCGTCTTTATGGAGAGATATGGGGTCAATAAGACCCCCCATCTCTCCTCTGCAATGCAAAGCACTGGATCAAAAAAAAAAAGCATTGATCTGGTGCTTAAAAAAAAAAAAAATGGCCAGAACTGGAAGTGACATCGCTCCGGTCCTCCAAGGGCATAGAGATGAGTGGAGGCCATCTTTCCATCACTACTCTCTATGCCCAGCATCTGGATCTCACAATGGTTTCTCAGGGAAGGCTGAGTAGCGGCCGGTGGTGAGGGGATGCTTTTTTTCGGCACCTGTATCGGTGTAATTTTTCATTTCAGCCAACGGCCGAAAGGGGTGCGATTTCGGCCGAAACGTTTCAGCCACCGAAATTTCGGTGCATCCCTGTTTGCAACAGAGAATGTTGGTTATATAATTTCCCAAATTACATTTAAAAATAGGCCCCAGTATCCTACTATTGGTTAAAAATCAAAACATCTCACCTTCTTTATTAACACCAAGACAATATTTTTCTTCTAATTGTATCTACCGTATTTGCCGGCGTATAAGACGACTTTTTGACCCTTGAAAATCTTCTCAAAAGTCGGGGGTTGTCTTATACACCGGTACACATGTTAGGGGGGCTGCGGCATTAAGTACAGGGGTTTGCAGGGGCTGATGTCTCTTACCTGGATCCAGTCCCACGACGATCCGGTCCAGGAAGCGCGGCGTCTCCTTCAGTTCGGCCACTGGATGTTCGTGCGGCTGCTCGGCTCCGCCTCCTCACCGGTGATTGGCCGCCAGAACTGTAGCTCAGGAAAGGCACACAGGCGGCCAATCACCGGCGAGGGGGCGGAGCCGAGCGGCCCCGCGAAAATTGAGTGCCGGAGCAGCAGGTAAGTGTTCTGTGTAGAGGTGCTGCTGCAACCACATATGCTGGCTGCAGCAGCACCATACGAGAACAGGGTCAGCAAGTCTCAGTGGGAGGAATAGTGCCCCATCATTGGTGTCACTGATACCAATGATGGGGCACTATTCCTCCCACTGATACCAACGATGGGGCACTATTCCTCCCACTGATACCAACGATGGGGCACTATTCCTCCCACTGACACCAACGATGGGGCACTATTCCTCCCCCCCACTGACACCAACGATGGGGCACTATTCCCCCCCCCACTGACACCAACGATGGGGCACTATTCCACCCCCCACTGACACCAATGATGGGGCACTATTCCACCCCTCACTGACACCAATGATGGGACACCATTCCTCCCACTGACACCAATGATGGGGCACTATTCCTGCCACTGATACCAATGATGGGGCACTATTCCTGCCACTGATACCAATGATGGGGCACTATTCCTGCCACTGATACCAATGATGGGGCACCATTCCTGCCACTGATACCAATGATGGGGCACTATTCCTCCCACTGACACCAATGATGGGGCACTATTCCTCCCACTGACATCAATGATGGGGCACTATTCCTCCCACTGGTGTGCATTGGAAGAGGGGTAGTCTTATACGGCGAGTATAGCCCAAACACTACATTTTAGCAGGAAAAGTAGGGGGGTCGTCTTATACGCCCAGTCGTCTTATACGCCGGCAAATACGGTACTTTATTTTTTTTTTTGCTTAAAAAGACATTTAAAGTTTTATTCCATTGAGTTGTGTGTACTCTTCACAATCAAGTTTAATTAAGCTGCTGCATTTCTTGGCACAGCCTTTACTGGAATACTTCCCAACAAAACCACTAAACCCCAGCTGCTACTATCTCATAACATCCTACAGTCAGAGTTACACTGTATTGCCTTACCTGCAGCCAAAGCTACCTCATGCTACTCCTGACACACACAGGACTTGTGGAAATCAAACTCCGCCATCTCTCAACACTAGACCACATGCTTTATTTACAAGTACACAAGACACAAAGGGGAGCATCTTCACGTTTCAGCCAGGAAGGTTGTGAGCTCGTAAGAACAGAAGAGATCCGAAACCCCAGCTAGAAGATTTCTTTCTTTTTTTTTTTAACCATTGGGTATTTTTCAGTCACTTGTGATGCATACCAACATAGAGAACATCAATTTTATTCAGAGATTAAAAAGCAATGAACACGACAGTAAGCTTGACAATCTTTCCTAGATTTTCATGTAATCTCTCCACTTCCTATCCTCATTTGACCCTCTATCTAGCTATGCGGGCCAAAAAAAAAAAAAAAAAAAAGCTACACACAAACACTTTGTGATAATGAAAACGTTTCTACTGAGGTCTTGATAACCTTGATAAGGAGAGGATTCAGTAACTTCTGTAAAGCTGCATATTGTTTGTTCACTCCTGAGCTCCAAAAAAAATGTAATTCCATCTCTAAGGGCTTGTTCACACTTGACTTCTTCCCAAATGGCCCTATAGCATTAGACAGGCGTTTAATCAGCTTTGTATGGGCGTTTTGCAAGAGTTAAAAATGCTCCCCAAATGCCCTTTGTGCAGTTTTGAGGCATTTTAAAAGTGTTAAAACTGCACCACAAAATGCCTATAATTAACTTAATGGTATTAATGCCCCACAAACGCCTGTCAGGTGTCGCCATAGACTTGAATGGGAGGCATTGAAAGGCTTCAAGTCCTCCTGACTCGACGCTAATGCTTCAGTGTGAACAGAACTGTGTGCTGCCATGTGTATCATTTTCATAGGTGTTTGAGAAGCGTTAAAAACGCCTCTCAAACGCCTGCTTTCAAAGCTAATGTGAACTGAGCCTTACACATTTAAAACTGGTCAGCAGGGCAATAAAGTATATATATTCTACACATACATAGTATTCATTTTCTGGATTTTTTTCAGCAGATTTTAACACAAACAACACACATTAATACTTTACAGCTTACACATGCATAGATGCATTGTGCATGCATTATTTTCTGTCTTTACCTTTATTTTCATCTATAACCCTGCACATACCACACTGCCGGTCCCTGGGTGGCTACACTCTCTTCTCCACTCTTATCTCTGTACTGAGTTACAGTGACTTCCCAGGTGGACTTCACAAATATAGGGCCTCTGTTCATGTCCAATATAATGAAGGGTGGGGGATTAGTAGTTTACAGAACAAATATAACACTGGTTTTGCTTATTATTAGAGATGAGCGAATTATTCAAAAATTCGATTCGGCTGATTCGGCGAATTCGCGGAATAAAATCGATTTGAGTCGAATATATTCGCTGCGAATTTAACTTATAAAAAGGGTGTTTCTAGGCTTCAGAGAGCCTTTATATTAGTGCAGAACACTGTACCTTTAATTTAAATGCCCTTGGAGTCTGCTGGGGAAGAGAAATAATACTGTCAGTCAGTATGACATGCAGATGAGTGCCGTCGATCTTAGAATCACCGCACACTTCACTCATTTGGGCAGTCACGGGGCCAAAACCAGAGTGTGGAGCCACAGTGTGGCGGTGGAGGCAGCAGCAATGGGAGGCCATACAGCACCCTATGAAAAAATGGAACCCACCAGCAGTGTGAGGAGACCTGAAAGTGGCACATGGCAGAGTGTGGCGATGGAGACAGCAGCAATGGGAGGCCGTACAGGGACCCATGACACACTCTGGACCTGGCAGCAGCATGAGGAGGCGGTACAGGGGCCCATGACAGATTACGGGCCTGGCAGCAGCATGAGGAGTCGGTACGGGGGCCCATGGCAGATTACGGGCCTGGCAGCAGCAATGGGAGGCCATACAGCACCCTATGACAAAATGGAACCCACCAGCAGTGTGAGGAGACCTGAAAGTGGCACATGGCAGAGTGTGGCGATGGAGACAGCAGCAATGGGAGGCCGTACAGGGACCCATGACACACTCTGGACCTGGCAGCAGCATGATGAGGAGGCGGTACAGGGGCCCATGACAGATTACGGGCCTGGCAGCAGCATGAGGAGTCGGTACGGGGCCCCATGGCAGATTACGGGCCTGGCAGCAGCAATGGGAGGCCCGTAATCTGCCAGCACCCTATGACAAAATGGAACCCACCAGCAGTGTGAGGAGACCTGAAAGTGGCACATGGCAGAGTGTGGCGATGGAGACAGCAGCAATGGGAGGCCGTACAGGGACCCATGACACACTCTGGACCTGGCAGCAGCATGAGGAGGCGGTACAGGGGCCCATGACAGATTACGGGCCTGGCAGCAGCAATGGGAGGCCCGTAATCTGCCAGCACCCTATGACAAAATGGAACCCACCAGCAGTGTGAGGAGACCTGAA